TGTGTGTGTGTGTGTGTGTGTGTGTGTGTGTGTGTGTGTGTGTGTGTGTGTGTGTGTGTGTGTGTGTGTGTGTGTGTGTGTGTGTGTATGAGAGAGAAGAGTATAGGAACTCATAATGCTGGGCGGGCACAAAGTATTTCCTTTCAGTTCTTTTGGAGGCTGGGGAAAGGAAGGAGCGGGTTTGCCATCGGGCTTTCACTGGTTTCATAATGGCTTCATTGAGAGGGAGGACCGCTTTTGACAAGCTCGCGGCAGCCAGTATGTAGATGAGGCCATGGGACTATTCTTTTACTACTTTTGCTTGCAAGCCTAAGTTTGAGGCCACCCTTTTCAGCAATTCCTGGTGGGCCTTGAAGGCATCCTGAGGAGGCTACATGCCCGATCCTGACACTGCCTTGTCTGGGAAGGAGGATGAGGATGCCTCCACCAGCAAGGAGCCCCCCTCTTCTCCTTCTGCGCTGATGGGATCCCAGAAATCCAGATCAGAAAGGTCGGTATCGGAGTCTGGGTCAGGTACTGCCTGATGGAATGGAGGTGTCCGTCTCTCAGAGGTCACTGTCATTGGGGGGAATTCCCATAGGTTCCAAAAACACCACTGCACAGGCATAGATCAGTGATCACTGGGCCAAGCACTCTGAGACATCCCTGTGCCAGGGTCCAGGTGGAGTAGGGAGAGGACTACGATTTGACCTTTGACTCTGACAACGAGCCTTCCTCTGGGGACCACGGAGATGTGGTTCCCACTGGTGCTGGAGATCAGTGCCGGGGTGGGGAAGCTTGCACAGGTGCCAGCAAGGACAGGTTCCCTCTGGAGGGTGCCGCAGGACCTGGAACCGGATGGCAGCTAGGGGCTATGTGCTCTCTCCTGCCCACCTACCCACTCGTACTGCTGGTGCCGGCGGTACCGAAAGTGCCACTAGGTCTCTGACTGCGGTGAATGCCTCTGGAATGAACATCACCGCAATAACGTTTGCGCTGTGATGACCTTCTGGTGCCAATGGCTCATTCAAGACTGGACTCAATGGAGCCTGCATACAGGCCAGAGTTGATGGTGCCACCTGTGAACCTGAGGCAGAGGAGTGGCCTGACCTATGGCACACTCTGCTCTGCTCTCCATGCCCAGCCTTCTTCTGAGTTGGGGAATGTCCCGTTTCTTATGCTTTTTTCTCAGCATTGGGATGGCGAGTGGTGCCAAGACTGGAGTGTTCTGCACTGACACCGAGCTACTTGGTATCAAGTCCAACCGGCTCAACTTGGAGGAAGGTCTGACTGCTGCTTCCATTAATAGGAATTTTAGCCTAGACTCCTTGCCCTTCTTCACAGGAGGTTTGAAATCACAGCAGATCTGACAGCAATCTCTGATGTGAGCCTCACCCATGCACTTTAAACGGCTAGATTATGGATCACTCAAAGGCATAGCCTTGCTGCATGAGGCACAGGGCTTGAAGTCCGGTGACTGGCAATGCCTCAGCCTCGGGAGCAGATGAAAAACTGCTAATGAATGAAGAGGTATCAACTAGACTGACTAACTAACTAACTATCAACTATTTACTCTATAATTATACAAATATTCAGAAAAAAATGAAAGAAACAAAATCCACTGAGAACAGCTTGCTCTAACACAGAGAGCAGTTGCAGTGATCATCACAAGCGGTAAGAAGGAACTGAGGAGCACGGGTCAGCTGGGCCTTTTATGCCGGTGTGCAGCACCGAGTCGACCCGACGAATACCACTCAGGGAAAAAATTACAGCAACACACACCCCTACAACAGAGTGGACATGTGCAAGCACTCAAAAAAGAACTGTCTTTTCCATTTTTCAGTAATTAGCTGCAGCAGTAATTCACAAGAGTGAAAATACTGCACTGCTTTGTGATTTACTCCATTCTCTGGGTCACCTGGGGTATATATGTCAGAATTTGTATTGTCTACCTACTTAGATTGTAAGCTTCGGGGGTAAGGATTGTGTCTCCTGTGTGTTTTATGCAGCACTGGGTGCTATCATTTTCCCTCCTCTCTAAGGCAAATAATAAACTGGCACATTTTATTGCAGATGAAGATGAAGTAGTACCATTCTGAAAACTCTTCTTGGTGGATTGTTGGAAAGCAAAATCTGCAATGCATAATAATAAAAAATACCTTTCACCTTTCATCCTGGGTCCCAAAGTGTTTTACAAAGGTGTATAATAATTATTATCGCCATTTTTCTGACAGGGAAACCAAGGTAAAAAAAAAAACCTTGCAAAAGGTTACACGCTAATCAGTAGTAGAATAAGGAACAGAATGTATGCCTTCTAACTCCCATAACTAACCAATAGATCTGCTGCCCCCGTCAGTATAATCAAACTTGCTGCTTGTAAGGATGACAGACATGGCAATCTCCTCCAATATCTTTGAGAGATCTTATTAAATTACATTTAAGTATCTTTGGAGTCCTATTAAACACAAAGACTATGTATTATTGTGGGCCTTGATGATCAAAGAACTATATTGAACAATGCGGGAGACAAGAATGAGCTTTTTGAAACAATACATGTAAAGTGGCTTTCCAGGGAAATATCTAGGGGGGATTGAATGCAAATTCCTGCCCCCTGCCTCTGGTTATGTAAAAACCCAACCATCTGAACCTAAGCTGTGAGGAGAGGGCAAATGTCTGCTGATTACCTGCTCCTAAATCAAAGGCCCAAACTCTATAAAGGGGTGACTCACAGATTCACAGCTTGTTCTAAGCTAACAGCTGTTATGAACTTGTGACCACAGAAAAACTCCTTGGTGTGGTTTGAAGGACTGAATCCTACTAAAGCCCTTGCTGAAGATGGGAGTATAAGCTTACTGGCATGTGTGGACATTCGTTTATTGTTTTTAATATGTTTTCTCTGTAAAGTTTTCAGCTTAAGAATAGTATGTGCTTCCTTAGAAAGGGCTATGTGGTACCTTGTAACTGTGGGCAATTATACTGTTTATAGCCTTTGGAGAGAAAGAAATATGAACTGTGACATTAAGATAAAAACATTTACCGGTACAGACAGAAACAAATAAAAACTTAAAAGTTTGAAAATTGCCAAGGAAACTCTTCAAATCTGTCCCTACCAGTATGTGGTACAATGTGTTATCATAGACAGGGGTGGCACTTGGGGGAGCGGAGTTTGTGGGGGCTATAGCCACCCCAAAATTTGCCTTAACTCTCCCACCCCCGTGTAACCACCCCGTAGCAGCTGCCACTCTCCAGCCACTGAGCTCTTAATGCAGAGTGGAGGGCATGGCGACTGCTGGTCGGGTGTCCAGCTCTAGTAGCAGCAGAAAAGTAAGCCTGGGTGGAGGGGCTGGGGTGCCCGAGAGCAGTCCCCAGCCTATGTCCCCCCAACCAGAGCATGCTGCCCAGGGCAGGTAGAAGGTCAGGGGCTTCCCACAGCGGCCTGCACTGACCTATTCCGGCTCCGGGGCCCCGCCCTGCAGTCACTGCTCCCCAATGGCTCTGCCAGCCCTGGAGCCGGGTCCCCCCACCTGTGTGGCTTTTACTGGCTGCAAGCAGCCAGTGCTGCACACTGCCTGGTTCTGGCTTCCAGCCTGGCCAGAGGGTAGGGCTTTGGGGTGGGGGAAGAGGAACAAGAGGCAAGGCCATTGAGAGGGGCCTGACCTAGTGGCAAGGCGGGGCTAAGGCCCACCTCAGTGCCCTCACCAGGAAGAGATGCTGCCCCATATCAGAGACTATTAGCAACCTGGTAGTATGTATGGCTGACTATGGACCTACAGATGATACATGGAGGTGCAGGCACATATACAAAGGAAACTCATACTATCCTGAATAACCTCACACAGTTTTGCTACTGTGCCATGTTACTCATGAAAGCCTTGAAGAAAAATCCCTCCCCATGATTTTTCTACTGCCAAGATCAGAGAGAAACAATCTTCATATACAAATGCCTTTGTGTGGCTTTCTCATGAGTTTCTGAAGTGTCTGTTTTGGGAGCCAGAATTTGCCCCTTCACCTCCAGTAGGATATTAATACTAAATTAAATTAAATTCTTATTTGAGAGCCTTAATTTAAAGAATTAAGATAACAAGACAATGGCTTCTTCAAAGAGTAATTCTTCAAATCCACTGCCACCTCACAAGCACAGCCATGTCAAAGAGAGCACAGACACAACACAGCACACACATTCCTCATCTGAGCAAAACTAGTATCCTGTTTGTTTGATTTTCTGGGGTGCCCACCCTACAAGCTGGGATTTTAAGGCTGTTGGGAGACCTACTTTTGGAGGGCTGACACAGTAATAAAAATTGTATCATACGTTCTGAAACAAAAATATAGTATGGTATTAAAGGTTCAGCCTGGATGTGGCCTCTCAGGTACTACTGTAATACAAATAATAACTTAAATATATTTTGTTGCTGTGCTACTCAAATGAATGGAATAAGCTCTTCTGTACTCTCAGACCTTGCTTTTTTCCATGCTGTGGAATACTATATAGGTAAATCTTCTTTCAGCCACGTTTCACTTTAAATTTATTTTAAACAAAATTGTTAAGTTTCTTTAGGTAAAGAAATGGTGGAAGCCCCATATAAACAAGGAATGCCCTACTTTTGTGATATAGTGGAAGTGTGCATAACATTTTCATACAAACCTTTTAAAAGAACCTAAAAGAAAAAAGTTAGATGAATGAAGACTATTTAAGATCAAAACAGAAAGCTAGGAAAAAATAAATTCTTACCCTAAAAAACTCTTTTGTGGAGCCAGAATCTAGTGTCCCATAAGCAATTTCTGTTTGCTTAGAAAGATCCTCTGCACTTTCAATAGGAGACACCATCCTCTCAACCGTCAGGAAAGCAGCTAAGTTAGCCGTGTAGGATGAGATTATGATCAGGGTAAAGAACCACCACACACCTCCAACAATGCGCCCAGACAGGGATCTAATAACAAGTATGAAATGGATTTGTAAAATGAAATGAATGTCCTAAAAGGAACACAAGTTATCAGTTTTATGCAAATGATGCATTATAATACAGAGAAGTACTTCAGGTTATCCTGTACTGCTGCTCTGCATGCTAATCAAACAGGAAATTAATTCACTGTAAAGTTCTGCTGGGTGAGACTGTAAGCTTCACTAGATCTGGTGGACTTCGCTGAAATCAGGACTCCAGACTTGAGATTACTTTATGGAGAATTAGTGTCCCAGTTCTTCAGAGATGTGAATATCCTGAAATGAAACTGCTCAGATCACAGTGAGCCATATTAACAAATAAGCTTTTCATGCTCTCTCATTTGAAGTCCTGTGTATGACACATGAAAACACAGACAAGGGAATCAAACAACACCAATGAAACAGCATTTCAGATAAACTAGAAATGTACTTAAAAATTGAATGGCTGAAAATTGCTTATTTTCATGAGACATTCAGACAAAGACTGATATCCACAAAACAATGACTTATGCTACTGTGGACATATAGTAATTAGAAGGAATTAATCTATGCTGAGAAATGGGCAGCGCTACTTGAAATAGGCTTTGGTCAAGTGAATTCTCATAAACTAAATAATAAATATAACTATTTTTGAAAAACAAGCATTTAGCAAACTGGGGAATAGACATGAAACAATCAAACTGAAACTACAGTAAAATGGGTGAGAAAAAGTACAGGTTTTAAATAGTAATCTGACGCTTTAACTGCAACAGGTGGGCTCTTATGGGTCTTTGTTTTGCATCTCCTGCTCAAGAAAAGAAAAGAGGTCTCAAAAAAATAGATCAAACAATTTAGAGTTCACTACTAGAGAAATTCAGTGATTTTCGAAACTGAGAAAATATAATAAAATTGCTGATGCTGACATCATAGTCAAACGTCAGTCTACACTATAAACTTTCCAATTTATTACTGTACTGTTTCCTAGCAATACATTATACTAGGATATACATAACCTTTGGAGATGTGCTTAATAACTTGGTAGAAATCTGAGTATATTTGAGCATAGGAAGCCCATAAATCCAGTGAAACCGCAGCTCAGATATTTTGCTAATATATCTGCACTATGTAATATATAAAAAAGTTATGTCAATCACCCAACCTACCATAGTGTAAATGCAAATTTAAACTAAGTATCAAGTCAGAAAAAAATGCTGAGATTTTAGAAACTAAAATTATTTCTATAAAGCTGATTTATTAAATTGGGAACAAAAATAAAGAGAAACAATTCTAGACAAATCATATTTGTGATTGTTATTGTAAAAAAACCTCAATGGTAATAAAGACATATTCTGAATAGCTATCTCCATGCAGGACTCTCTTACTGGAAGCCCTGCATAAAAATCAATGGCAGGATATGGCCCAGAATAAGCTACTGAAAAGGACCATAGATGAGAAAGTCTGAAATCCATCCTATTGTTCCTAGACTTTACTATGCTCTGCAAACCTTCTTTTTTCTCAGCTTTGAAAAAACATTTTTTGGGGCACAGCAATCATCCCAGTGCTCTTTGTTTACATGGTAATAATTAAACAGTTGATTACATGATAAGTACTATGTATTTGCAAGGTAAAGTATGTGTCTTTAAAAACACTAGTGCTAATTATATGCTAGTTATGTTAAATTCACACTATATGTAATTGGCAATAATTTACTGAAATACGAGTGTAATCTTTCAGTCCTCAGGCAGGCAAAACTCCCATAATCATTGTAAGAAGAATCAAGACCCAAATCATAACAACTGTTTCTTTAACTGTCTGGTCTTTTCCATCTAAAAGCTATTCAGTTATTATTTATGTTCAGAGTTTTCCCATAATATCCATCCCTAGTAAAATAAACAATTTCCTTTTAACGTACATTTTGAACCAAAATTTCAAAGTGGTGCACCAGCAATAACTCACATTTATACAACCAAAAGAGCATTAACAGCTACATATAAGGTAATTCTGCACCCAATTCTCAATTGTGTACACAGTTACCCAATTTGCACACAATGCTTTGCATGTACAAAGGTAGGAATTTGCAGTTAGAAAGGGTGCATGTGCATTTTGAAAATTTGGCTCACTTCAGTCTTTCCTGTGCTAAGAAAGTGGGCTGTAGTCCACGAAAGCTTATGCTCTAATAAATTTGTTAGTCTCTAAGGTGCCACAAGTACTCCTGTTCTTCTTTGTGCTAAGAAAGTTTTGCTAAAATTACCCACCATTGCCACCACTCTTTCAGCTCTACCTGTAGTACCCATGGTAGAATCATTAGTGTAGACAAGGTTCCAGGGGGATGCCAGTGTTTTAGGCCCCATGTGATCTGATCTACTCAGAGCAGGTCACAGTATTTACAACTCCAGGACCCACTGGCAATTTGTCTGCATTAGTGCTCTCCGCAATGTTCCCACTGGTGGAAATGAAATGGTGATAACAATGGTGTGAACTGTGAGCAAAAATATCCTAGTGCAGACACAGTCTAAGTCATCCTCCCTACAGTTTAGGGGAAGAAGAACAGCACAGAGATTTTTTTTTGTCATTACTTTAATTAATTTGTTGGCTGTTCCGTAACCACAGTAATGGGCTTGGTATAAGAACACAGATTGATAGAAGAGCTTTCAGCCTTATTATTTTTATAGTAATATATGAGTAGAAAGACAAAGAGATAATTGTAAAAATTGAATGTTTTCATTATGAATTATGACTAGAAAGGAAATTGGGGAATCTCAAATGCTGTACTGATACTGTATCTTCCAAGTACATCTCCAAAATAATCTGAGTTTTATATACCTTTTGTGACAATAATATGCTAATCTTACTTTTGACAAAATTCTTTAAATTTTAACAAACTAATGCATAGCAATTCTTATGTTTTATTACCCAGGAGTGAAAAAAAAATTAAATCAACCTTTCACGTTAAGCTACCAAGGGCTCGATTCATTAAAAACAATTTTGCAGTTATTGATTTAATAGTGTGGTGCCTGATAAGAGAAATTTATACAGCTGCCTAATTATTTGAGATGATGAGCCTCATTGCCATATATCATTTTGCTGGGCAGGGTTTGTGATCATATCCCCGGGAAGAGCAGCCATACCCAGCCACCAAAAGCATATTGTCCTCCAGAATCAGAAGTAGCTACCTTATTTCCATAGAATAGAAATGTGAAAGGCTGCCTTTTTCCTTTAGCAAGCAAGCCCAGGCCACGGAGAATGCTCCTTCATAGAATGTCCAACGGAGGACTGATTGCATGGTCACAAATAGTATTTCTGCAGGTATTTATTAGCCTACATATAATACAAGAATAGGCTTTCCTTGGTAAAAAGTAAATGTGCTAAGCACATGGGTACTGCCATATCAGCGAGAGGTTTTCCTGCTACCTTCCATTTTGTTTTTGCTCAAAAATAATTATTCATACATTACTGTGTAATTAGACACAGTAAACTCAGAGGACATAGACACTTCCCCTCTCCTATATTAGAATGTTGAGAAGAAGGTGAAATCACTGAGCATGGTTAGAAGGCTCCTCTGATTTAATTCCCATAAACCCAACTACCATATTTCAATTGTTCATGTAGGGTCCTGATTCAGCAAGGTAATTATGCATATGCCAAACTACTTTGCTGAATCAAGGCCCCAACCGCTTGTGCACAAAGGAAATAGAATATTTAATGAACTGCAAAAGAAAAAAAGTGGAGCAAGTAAAGTGCTTACTTTTCTCCCAAATAAAGCACGTGAAAATCCCTCAAGAAAGGCGTATGTATTTTTAATGAATCGGATCCTCATTTTCATCCTAGCAATTTATTTCACAATTCCTATAAAACTGAGCCATACAAAACCATAGCGGTTGTTTGTAACTACTTCACGTGGCTTTACAGGAAATTGATTACTTTTATTTCATTTCTCTGTGGAAAAACAATAGGTTAATATGTATGTGAGATGGTATGCAAAGTGGTCTTTGATGGGAAAGTGCTGCTTTGTAGCTAATTAGTGGTGAGTTACCCTTTTTTCCCATTACAGTTGGTGTGAACCAGATGCACAGTTGACTGTAAAATGGGAATATGCAGCAAAAACACGGTACCCCTCCAAGAAGGCATGGAATGACAGGAACCTTATGCATTTTACAGCCTCTGCATGGTGTATATAAGTTCACTGGGGAAATGTATGATCGACGTTAGGAGGATATCGATCAAATATTTCACTTGCCTGCACCGATGGCAATTGTTTTCATTTCAAGGACTTTTGAACTCTTTGGGAAAGAAGTCAGTAACCAGTTTCCTTTTGAAAGTGAATATATATGCACCATGAAACTCCATCTGAGACCAAAAATGCACAAAGCTGAAATGGACAAGTAACCAACCTTGGCGAAATATCGCATCCTTGCTGCATAAAGGCACCCAGGGAAAACCAGAGACTATTAAATATCCCAAATTCATTAGTTGATTCGTTACTTTGCGTTTCTCTTCCATCTTCAAACTCCTCAGTGTGCCACTCGTATGGGCTAAATCTGCTGACCAGGAATAAAACTACACTGACCCCAATGTAGGCAAAAACAATGCACATCCAGATCTCATATGCTAAGGGATCAAGAAACGAAAACACTCCTGGTTTAGACTTCTGTGGCTTCTTGATCATTATAGATATCCCGAGGCTCATAAAGGGCTTTGAGAAGTCAATCACCTCTTCTCTCACCAATGTTATAGTTAACGGAGCGATTGCAATGTCGGCTTTCTGTAAAGGAAACAAAGCATGGTAATAATAACTGATGTGATCGTTAACAAAGAATGGCTTCATTCCTGTTGCATATCACAAATGAAGAATAGGACAGCAGGGACATGGATAATAGTCATTTCACTGATAGTGCCCTACTGAGGGTAAACTAATTAGTAATTTATAGCCGAAAATCTTCTTACTGACATATATACAACCATCTGATTGGACTATTCCAAGCCTTCTCTTTACATACGTATGTTATAGTGCATTTGCAGTTTTTAGACATACTCCTTCAAAGTTTATGGGACTTAAATATGTTAGCAAAGCATAGTGTCTTGTATCTGTAGGGAAAAAAGATAAAATACAGACTCTTTCTCCTCATTTAACTTTCATATTTAAATCAAACTTCATGTTTTAATCTTCAAATATTTCATATCAAAACAAGCTACTATCTCCATAGCAAATATGAGTCAGACCAGTTTCCTGCATGACAAGGAGAACACCTCCACACACATCACTATCATCAGTCATAGTAGCTGTTATTAAGAAGGTTTTCTTACCCCATAAACAAGTTCTCCAACCATCCCATTCCAGATTTTTGTGTCTGCATCCCGGGCTCCATACTTGCCATCCCCAACAATTGTGAGCTTGTACTTGAATCCACAATGTTTAGCAATCTCTGCAGCTAAGTCCACACAGTAGCCCTCATATCGCTCGTTTCCTTCAAGCAGTTCATGATTTTTCTTCATCATGACATATGGGGACTCCTGCACAGAAAGACTGAACTTTAGCTAGCCAATGAAGAGACAACTGTGATAACTGTGCACTTATTATACAAATATATTTGATTTTAGACGGGGGGGGGGTAAATCAAACCCACCTTATTCACAAATGTTCTGGGTCATTAGATTTGTCACTCTGATTATTCGTTCAACATATCTTATATAACATTTAAAATTATATGCTTCACAGTCAGATTCAAATGCCAACACTTACAGGTATAACCAGTCCCAGAGATGTTTAAATAATGACTGTGAGTGTAATAGGAATTATGTATACACTGTGGAGAGAAGAGGCTCCAATACATTGTTTATTTTACTTGTTTGTTTGGGGTTTTGAGCGTGGCTGGTGGGTTTTTGTTTGTTTGTTAAAATTGTAAAATCCAAGAGGGTTCTTCCCTATTCTGCAGCCACCTCTCTCACCCAGCCAATATTGCAATATCTCTAGGTAATACATGTATTGAGTTACTGCACAGAAATACTTAGAGGGTCCAGACGATAAACTATAGCTGTGCAGCAAAATTCTTACCACCACCAAAACTGGTGACAAACAATAGGTTCACAGTAAAAAGGGATTTTCCCCCTTCTTGCCCCAATTTATTTTCCCCCAAAAATCTTGCAGCCAGAACAGCTAGATGCTCATGCAAGACATATATCTATGATTAAGCAGCTGTGTAAATTAGATGACATTGCTACCATACAAACAGTGTATGATGTTCTCTTAAGATTACATAGAAGATTAAGTTTCTTATTCATTCCTCCATTTTGGCACAGAAGTTCAAAATGGCTAGAGATAAAACTCAAACTCCTAAATGCTCTTTTTTCTGATTTGGTGAATTCCATTTGCTAACGAGTATGGAGAGTGTATTTTAAAAATAAATAATACAATTTTGCCATTCAGACAAAGAGTTCTTCGAAATCAGGCTATTGGTTCCTTGTAGCTGGCATGGATTGTTTTTGAATAATTTATCAATCAAATAACTCTGTGGTTTTTTACAAAGTCCATGTACTGATCATCCTTTCTTTAACAGCAATTGGATGGTATCAGTCCTCTCGTTAATATTCCATAAAAAATAGCATTTCAGAGTCTTCTGTCTTACAGGTATGAATTGGCATAACAATTAACTAATATAATGTAGCACAATAATTCATTATAATACTAAAACATAGATTGCATTCTCACGAGAAATGTGTTAAATTAATTACCAAAATAGTGGTGACAACAATAGTTTTATTTTCTAGTCCTGTGGATTCATTCCCAAGAGGACCATCAATGGGATTCACAACCATTTTGTCCACTTCACTCCAATATCCAATCTGAAAAAGTTTGTAGGATGTATCGACACTGATGAATATGAACTATCATATGTAAACATCTTATTACATTCAAGCATACCATACCCACTCCAAATATGCCACAGAAAGTTATAGTAGCTGCAGCTTCACCTATATAAACATGCAAGCATTAGACAGGAATTGACAGGAACTTGGCACATGTAAACAAATTTTAATATTAATTTTCCTACTACGCAGGTTAAAATTTTCAGCTACATATCACCGGATTTTGATATAAAAATCATGCTGCAGCATTGTAAAGGTTATACAAATTAGGAAGAAACATCCACTGCTACTGCATTTGGCTTTTCTCTGAATGGCTAGGGATGTAGGAGAGAAAAAAAATCACATTTAGAGAACCCATTAATGAGAGTTATTCTCTGAAAAGTTGTATTCTGCATCATCAGTTCAGAAAGTCGTCGTTAACGTTTATTTGGATTAGTTGCTCCCACTTATCTGCTCTAACCAGAAAAGAAAAGAAAAACAAATCTACACAATTTATTTAAAATAAAATAAGCTATAGTTTCACATGGTACTTACCAGAAATAAAAGCTCATATTTATAGAAACAAACAGGGCACATTTTTTCTTTGCTCTGCAAGACCATTAAAATATAATCATATGAATAAACTTAATTGCAACATGGTCTTTTGTTGACTATACCTTTCAGTCACCTACCTTTCCATATCACTTAGCAGGGTATAACTTTTAAGGGCATTTAGAATTTAAATTACCTTCCGGGGACCAGTATTTTTGAGCTCCATGATGTTTATTGTATAATTTATTCTCTTTCCATTCTGGTCAAATTTTATATTTCCTGTTAGACCTTCCACCTGAACCTATATGAAGTAAGAATGGAAATAATGGTAGCATTAAATTCGTTTATCTACAAAATACATTCTGTATTTTGCAGTTCCATGATTGCATATTGATGCAAAAGAAAAAAAAAGACTATTTAGGTTTATCCTAAAAATTATATATCCTTAATTACTAAGATGTTTTCCTGGGGCATTAGATATAATTGATGTTGGTTTTATAAATCTCTACCAACAAAGTCCAGTTTAGGAAGCAGAAAGATTCTTTCAGAACATTCACAGAGTATTTCATACAGAAATTAATTCCAGAACTGGTTCTAGAGAGACTACCTGCTTTAATGCCCTTTCTATTTCCACACCATGACCCCAGGGCACTGCTGGATTTGCAAGACAGTCTCCAGCATTTCCTCTTCTGGAGATCTCAATCCTCTGTTTACGCAAATTACGGAAAGCTTCAGTCATCACTTGAACAGCATCATAGGTCAGAGCAGATGTATACTGAAAAGGATTAAATATAATGAATTAAAAAGTGGTAAGGAGTTAAAGCTTCAAACACATTTTCCAAGGCTATCATTATTAATCCATTAAAGACAAAAATACATTAAAAATAAAAAGGATGATAAAATATTCTTTGGGATTAGACCATTTTCTTGTCATTTGGGGCTCTATTTTCCCACAGGAGTCCATATATTTTAATGGAGTATATAAGCACTTTCTATCAGGAGGAAGTGTCACTGGTGCACTAATGAATCCAAACTAGGGGTTTACAAACTTTCTCACCTTCCCTCCTAATTGCAACTGTGCAGCATCCCTGTTTGCAACTACAGCAAGTGTTCCATAGAAATGTGATGTTTGGAAAATATTTGTTTTAGGATTGTTGAGTGATTTAGCAGCAGGAAATAAGGATGAGATCCCCCTTTTGATCACAGTCTTCATTAAGATTCCATGTATAACTAGTTTATATAGGGTTAATAAATGACTGCTATATGTTATAAGCTTGTCTAGTGTATGCTATGGAGAGTTATAAGCACATCAGTAGAAGGTGTTATAGCTACATTCCCTGGTTATATTGATCTGTTGGCCTGTTGGAATCTATAATAATTGATTAACCATTTATTGAAGCAGCTATTAATATTAATTAACACTTTGTAAACTACAGTTAAATGGAACTCCAGTATAAAATGTGAACCACTCTTTAGCCAGACAGCTGGTCCACAGACCACCAGTAGACCATGGATCATAGTTTGGGAATCTCTGGTTTACACTGTATTGTTAATTAGAATGTTAGCTCTCTGGGAAAGGGTTCCCCCTATATCAGGTGCAGCAGTGAGCACATTGACAGCATGCAATAAACAACAACAAAAATAGCAATAATAATAAGTAGGGCCCTACCAAATTCACGGTCCATTTTGATCAATTTCATGAACATAAGATTTTAAATCAACCACTCTCTGGCCACCCAGCTCTGAAGGCAGCACAGAAGTGAGGGTGGCAGTATTGCCTGTGACCCCCTAAAATAACCTTGTGATGCCCCTGCAATTCCCTTTTGGGTCAGGACCCCATGTGAGAAACGCTGGTCTCCCCAGTGAAACCTTTATAGTATAGGGTAAAAGCACACAAAAGACCAGATTTCACGGGGGGAGACAAGATTTCACGGTCTGTGACACATATTTTCATGGATGTGAATTTGGTAGGGCCATAACAATAAGATAACTTAACCCCTTACTAGCAAATAAATGAGTGCTCTAGAGGCAGATTTATGTAAGCTGAAATGGATTTACTACAGCTGAATGCAGTATTCAAGATGAGCGCATATCATCAATTCATATCTGTTATAATACTTCGATTTTAATTTCTATCCCATTCATTATACATTCTAACAGTTTATTTTTATTTTTTACCACTGCTGTCACTGAGCAGAGGTTTTCTTTTCCTTTTTTAATTTTATTTCTGTATAATTCATTTCATTATCAAGGTCTCTCTAGCATGCAGTGAATGCTGAACTATGCTATTAATACTTTATGACAGCCCTAAGTTTCATGGGATATAATGTTTGGTGTGCTTCAGGGAGTCATGTTACCATGTCTATTACTGATGGATGTTAGTCTTCATTGACTAGGAAATACAGGTAGTGTTTAAACCTCAAATCCATAGCATTATGCTATTATTATTCCTTAATATTTATACCATGATGGCAGCTAGAGATCACAAGCCGATTTGGGTTCTATTATACTAGGCACTATACATATGAAAACCTGTTCTGAAAAGTTCATAGTCCAAGAAGACATTGTTATCCAAAGAATGGAGGGAGAAGGATGCAATTGTCACTCTATATCTAGATATATGTATATAAAACTGTATCTAGTTATTGCAAAACTTTTTTCTGGTAGTTATAAATATATAAACTAAGTGCCAGCTATCCCCATCTGCCTCTCAACACATTATGAGTTGGCTGATAACCTGTAGGCACATTGCAAAGGTGGGTTTTGAAGGAGGAGAGGGTGGTGGCCTTAGAGGTCAGTTTAGGGAGAGGCAGCATAAGTGTGTCACATGTTTTTAGCCCAAGACAAAACAAAGAGTTTTGCACAGACATCGTTTGAGACATTTGGGGAGAAGTCTGCTATTATATGCATGGATTTTATTAATCTAAGGCTAAACATTCACAATGGGTTATCTAAACTGAACAGGAAAATTCACATCTGCATCCATTCCATGGACAAATCCCACAGATTTCCTAAAGGTTTCATAGGTCATGGTGTATGAATATAAATAAATATTCAAGTCATCAGAGCAGATTCAACCCTAGATTCTGCCCAAAGGGTAGCCCTGGTGCAGGAAGGCTCCTACTCTTCTGGAAGATGGAAATAACTTGCAGTTCTTTAATGCCATGCCAAAACCTGCCAAGCCTAACTAATGAGGGGCTATGGCCATGGCAGCCTGGGGATGGACTGGTTCAGTCTCATTTATCTGGGCTCCTGTGGGATCCAATATACAATTTAAAGCTTCTTCCTCTTGGTGGAACTTCCAAAATGAGCACACTGGTGCAAACATAACTTGCCCTCCTCAGGAGATGAATAATTCCTGGACTTTAGTGGCTCAGAGATGTGTAGTATGAGTACATAATATGTTACTCTAGTCATTTCTGTCTTCATTCCACAAGCCATAAATCAATCTGGAAGCTGATTTAATAAACTAAACTGAACATTTTTAAAGGTAATTTCAGGAATAGCTTCTTCATCCCAGAGGTTAAGAGATGGTAAGTGGAATCTCTATCCAAGCAACCAGAAGGGAGTCCTGCATTTTTGCATGTGCATTTAAGGTTGAATTTTGAACCTGAAATGAGCATCCTTATAAAAGCTCAAAAAACAAAAGTGAAATACAAAAAGAACAATTTTATTTTTTATTTATACTCTCATGGTTTCAAGCCAATCTCATGATTTTTAGGTATCTGACACATTATTTGGAGCCTCTGAACATGGCAATACTCTTTCTGTGTAGTTTTTCACAGTAAAGGAAATGCGATGTGCAAAGTTTTTAATGAAAGGAATTTTGGTTAACAACATTGCAATCAATGGCTGCAAAGGGGGAATAAAAGCTTATTAGCATTTTGCACCATCCTATAATTATTTATTCCATTCATTTTACTTGCTCTTAGCTGTATGTTTAGTCTTCCACCCCTCAGAAGTATAACAAGTACCCAGGGGAAATTATGTCATTATTGGGGAGAAATGTAGTGATATCCATGAGTAAAGTCCCTTTGTATAAAACATTGCACATATACATCATCTTTAAGTGGAGGGGCTCAAAATGATATACAAACCTCTTACCTCCCTGTTACATATGGAAAATTGAGAGATGGTGATCTAGTGACATTCCTATGTTGAGTTAATGGTGGAGTCAAGAACAGCACCTAAGTCTCTTGACTCCCAGACTATTTCTAATGTTATATATTTATTTGAAATTTAGACTATGATAAGTGAAATACAAGTATTTATGTGATGGTTACCATGATTATAAACAGGATAAGAAATATATATAAGTACAAAAATTGTGTAAGTAGTGTCTTGATTTCCTATATATTGAGGCTTCATCCTCCTCTCATTTAGGAGAGATTCATAGATTCATAGATTCA